CTCCCCAGCTCCCGCTGTGCTGACCACCTCAGACCTGCTAAGCTCTCTCCCCTTTCAGGCTCCTAAACTCTCTGCAAAGCTCCCTGCAACCCCCGTGCTGCAGGAGGCCACCGCAGTCTGACCTTTAACCTTTTCTATGCCTGAGTCCCTCTGCTGTGGGCTGCTCCTTGGTTCTGCTCTCTGCACTCATCCCCTTGGGAGAGAGAAAGCTCACTTTTCCATATCTTTAAACCTGGCACTGTCACAGACACTTCCCAGGGATACTGCTCCCCTCAGCGGTGGATCAGTCACCCGTGCTCCCTTACTGCTTTGGGTACAAGCGAATTCAGTACAGGGCCTGGTGCTGCTCTTATTTTGCCACACCAGGCATGACCGTTACCCCTCTCTGCTCCGGATGGGGAACTGTCGGGTTGAAAACCCTTCATTATTGCGGGCTGATCAGGCCCACAATCTCCCAAATGAGTGGATGGTGAAGGCTTAAATAAATGAATTGAAATGATTTTAGGGCTCCAGGAGGGTCCAACTTTCTTACAGAATTCGAGATTCTCTAGGTTAAGACAAAGACTTCTCTGGGCAGCCCCTATGTTTATTTGCCTTACAAACAAAGGATCTGAGCAGGACCTTGGGAGAATTTTCTCAAGTAGTAAATTATGTCAATCAGGAGAACTACCTTATTTTTAGGCTGGCGTTTATTGTAGGAGTGTGGCACCTGCAGCTGCAGTCTCCTTTAAGTTAATTGAGGAAAAAGCCAAATGTCCTCAGCTGTGGCCTTGTCTTGTCCTTTGAAGTATCACCGTTTCACAGGCCTATACAGGTCTTAGTGGTGACCAGTGACTCATAGAGGTTCACTTACTATGAATCCGCTGCCCATCTCCAAACAAGGCCCCTAAGCTTTGGACAACTTACAAGTAAACATGGAAAGCCAGTTGGTTAATAATAAATCCTACTCAGAGCAGCTTCCTAGTGGTCTCCATCAGGGAACATTCCTCATCCTATTCCCTGTCCCTCCCTCTTAGCTTGCCCCTTAAAAATAAAGTTTGAAATGTCTCCACCTCCAACATGCTCCGAAGCCCAAGTGTCTAATATTTTTCTATAACACGTCATGGCCAAATTACAAGCTGGAACATAGTTTAAGGTGACGAGAGCATGGGATCTTTGATCCCTCCATCCTGTGGGAATCAGACAGTTACTGCTGGAAGCTAAAAATATGGTCAGAAGTTCCCTGCTTACAGACACTCTTTACCTTCTGTAATATCCCTACTTTGTGTAACTCACATGATCCCTCTCAAATGCTTTTTCTTTCTCTCTCATCTACATCTGCTTCACGAGACCTAGACTCTGCTCTGACAACAGGCCCAAGTGACCTTGCGCTCCCCTGGCAGGTCAGAACTTCCTATTTCTGGAGTGGACCCTCCTGCTGCTCCAGTGCTATGAGTGCAATCTCGTTCAGGGCCTCCTGCTGCCATAGCTGCTGCTTCTCCACCCCCAGAGCTTCCCTCAGCTGCTACATCCACTCCCTCCCCTTCTGTAGACCTCCTACCCCTCTGTTTATCCAGAACTTTCCTTTGAGTTTAATCCTCCTCTGTACACTACACCTGCTACGCCTGACCCCACTCTACCCCATTCCTGATCTGGATTGCAGTTTGGCCCCAAACCCTTGCCCCCTGCCCTCCAGTTCCCACTGCAGGGGTAGAGGGAATTATTTGTGTTCATGATCCTTTCTCTTTGACCTTTTTGACAGATCTCTCCCAAATAACCAGTGTCTGGCTTCCTTCTCCTCAGATCTCTCCCAATATATCTAAGAGTTTCTATACCTAACTCAGTCATATAACCTGATCACCCCAGGTGGCGGCAGTGTCCATGCTGAGAGGTGTCCTTGCTCATGTTGGTGAGTAGGGAGAAGGGGTAGTTAGACCTCAGATCTGTGCTGGATGGAGGCAGAAGGACAAGGGTTCAAGTACTTAATGCCAGCAGGCACATTCAGACCCAGCTGTTTCTGACTGCAGCTCAAGTTGGGCCTGGCTTTCTCACTACAGAGGCAGGGCCTGTGTCCTTCACAGTTGAGTTTAAGCTTCTCAGGGAAATCTTTTTGTAGACCACCCCGTCTGTGGCCACCTCCCACCCAGTCACTGTGGGAGGGTAACATTGGGAAACTCGAATGAAGTTGTTATTAGTTGTCTTGAGTCCCAGATTTAAATAATCAACCCCTTCTCGAAATGATGACTGGTCAAGCATTCTTTGGTAATATGGTGGGCACTTGTGCTTGGATCCCTCTCCGGCTATTGCCTGCCATGTGCAAGGAAGCCCTCTGAGCAAACCCTGTGCAGTTTTTGCAGTTCACAAAGGCCGTGGGCTCTGCTGTTTCTCCTTGGATCTCTCAGCCCTGGGTGCTAACTTTACTTCTAGGGAGAGCCGGGTGTGGTGGCCCATGCCTGTAATCTCAACACTTGGGAGGCTGAGGCAGGAAGATCCCCGAGAATTTGAGTCCAGCTTGGGATACACAATGAGTTCAAGGCCAGCGTGGACTACATAGTGAAACCTTAGCTCAAGAAAAGAAAACAAGACAAACAAAAAGAGCTGGGAAGAAGAAATTATTTTCTTCTTTCTCTGCATTTTGGGCCATCTTTTTGTTTTGCTTTTTTTTTTTTTTTTTTTGAGACAGTGCCTTACCATGTAGTTCAGGCTGACCTTGAATGCATGCATCAGCCTCTGAGTGTTGGGATTACAGGTGTGTCCCAACATGCTCAGCATTGGGGAAATGTTTTTTCTCTAAAAATGCTAGCATATATTATTTCTATTGTTAAGAAAAAATAACAACAATTTTATATTACTTTGAAAAAGAAAAATTGGTCCTTCTGTTAGCTATGAATAAACCAATGATTTTTATGATAGAAAGCCATAACTCTGAAATAAAGAAAAAGGTTTGAAACAATTTTTGGATTGGGATGTGGCTCAGTGGTAGATTGCTTGCCTAGCATTCATAAGGAATTGGGTTTGATCCCCAGCACTATTTTTAAAAAAGCCTCAAGCTGATGGAGTGAGCTGACTTTTTTCTCCAGATAACCCTTTATGTAGTACACTACATCAAGTTCAGTGTCCTGCTCCACAGAGTTTTCAAAAATTACTTTCAAGTGTTTCAAAAACACCTCCATGATATTTTTTCTTTTGACCTATAGAACACCAGTGTAGACACCACAATGCATTATTCTCTTAATACACTGGTGGACTTATTTTATTAAATTTTAGTAGGATTTTGAATTTATGTATATGAGAATGGTCAGTTTTGCTTTGGTGGTGCTGCGAAGTGACTTGGACTTTGGTTGTTTACATGTAAGCCTGGGACACTCTAGTCTAAGAGTTCCCAGTAGCTGGCTCATGGGTCAACTCTATGTAATCACCTAGAGGTTTTTTTTTTTTTTCTTTTTTTGTGCTGGGGATTAAACCCAGGGTCTTGTGCATGCTGCAACCTCAGCAGCTGTTTCTCCTACTTCAGTACTGGGGATTGAACCCAGAGCTTTCATTCTGAGCTCTAAGTATCTCTGGGCCTTTATTTTTTATTTGGTACAAAGGCTGAGTAAATCTCCAAGTTGCCCTGGATGTGTTCAAACTTGAGATTCTCCTGCCTCAGCCTCCCAGAGTGCTGGGCTGGGATTACAGGTGTGTGCTATCATACTTGGCTTATTATTATTTTAAAAAATAGAGCTGGGGGATGTAGCTCAGTGGTGGAATGCTTGCCTAGCATGCCTAGTCTGGGTTCTATCCATAGCCCTGCACACATACACATGCGCACACACACACACACACACACACACACACACACACACACTCCAAATCTTATTTCATACTGAATCAGATGCCCCAGGGTGAGGCAATATTTTAAATAAACACCCTAGATTTGGGAACTGTTCTACCTTAAGTCATGAGGCAAAAAAGGCAGGCAAACTAACCACCTCCACCAGGTTGGAGAATATTGACTTCTTAGATCCAGGCTAGGAAGCTAGGAAAGGGTTTGGGCAAACAGGCTCAGCGTCTGTGGGAACATCATGGTTCATACACCACAGGAGGAAGGTGACTCAGTCCACAGCGAGCTGCTCACCTATGAGCTTAAAAATAACAAGATCAGCAGGTGGTCAAATTCCTTTTGCAGTTAGTTGAGGTCTTCTTTTTGGGGGGCGGGTACTGGGAATCAAACCCACGACCTTGTGCTTGCCAGGCAGGCGCTGTGCTGCTGAGCTATATCCCCAGCCCAAGTTGAGGTCTTGACAACAAATTTTCAACCATCTTTGCAGCAGAAGGGGAAAATTTAAAGCAGTTTCTCCTAACCTAGGCAGTTAGTCCCTTTCCAGAGCAGCTGTTTTCTTTTTATTTTTCCCCAAAGACATCAGTGAGCTAGTCCATTCTTGCATCCTTTCCTCTGCTTGATATATACCTGTCGGCAACAGGAACCCACAAGAGCAAAGGGTCTGGAGGGACTCCCTGCCTCAGGGGTGAGAAGGGAAAAGGACTGGCTGACCCCGCTTTCCCGTCTCAGCAACCACCAGAACACTCTGGAAGGTCTGGGCCTGGCCCTGCTCCACTGCTTCTCTGTCCCGTCGTGGTCCCATCTTGAATAGTTCCGGGCACTAAATAGGTGGGGACTATTCGAACAGACATAGGCAGGATTGATTACACAGGTGCCACTGCTAGATGTCTGCTGACAGAGCACAGGCCCTTACAGTGACGCTCAGGCTGGGAATCTACTGTCTGCACAGTACTTACAAGTCATTTTTTTTTTTTTGGTTCCGGAAATCAAACTCAGGACCTTGTGCTTGCGAGGCAGGCAGTTATGCCACTGAGCTATATCCCCAGCCCTACAAGTCACTTTAAAACATTAGATTTAGTTGCCAACTTTGTTATTTTTAATTTTATATCAGTTTATTGATTGGTTGTACTGAGGATTGAACTGAGACCTTTGCACTGAGCTACATCATCAGCACTTTAAAACATTTTTATCTTGACAGTCTTGCTAAGTTGCTTAGGCTGGGCTGGAATTTGTGACCCTCTTGAATCAGACCGGCCTTGTAAACCTGGGCTAACACCACCACACAATCTGCAACGCTATGCGGCACAGGTGAGCACTGATCTGCACTCTTGATCATGGAGCACGGAGCCGCGCACTCCGGCAGGAATACAAACCTACAACCCGCTTCCCAACTGCGCCCTCTGGTGGCCTCAGTTTAATCACCCAGACCAAAGGAAAGCAGGACTCCTTCCAAGGCGGCTCAAAGCTGTAAACAAGCGGTGAGCAGTGAGAATATTTCACAAGTCAGCACTGAGCAAGAGGCGAGAGAAAGACATAACTTCTCTGTTTTAATATGTATGTTTTATTACTGTATATTAATTTTATAAAATACTGGCTTTTATAAAATACTGGTTTTTAAAAATAGTCTTGCCAACTTTTAAGCACTGATAGAGCTTCCATAAAAATCAGTTAATTCCATTTTTTCTTTCAAAATTGAAGACCCGCAACCTTGGGCTTCCGTTCTCACACCGCTCCATGGTCCCCCTAGCCGAGGACGAGGGCTGACCGCCGGTGCTCCGTCACACCCAGTTCCTCTCACTTCTTGTTTTACTTCCCATTTGTCTCCCATAGACACCTGGAGCTGCCATCTCCCCATCTCCCTTCTACCCCTTGCCTATCCACACCATTCGTGGGACTCTACTTGTCTCCCAAGGTCTTTGGGTTGGACAAGATGAATGATAAGATAAAGAAGATGTATTTTCACTCGGCACTTGGAACAGCCAACAGTCTTTTGGCTTATGGTCAGCTGGACATGACTTGAGACTCCTGCAATATACATCCACTCTTACCTTTCTTTGCACGAAGGAATAAAACAAACAAACAAACAAACCAGACAGTGGTTGGGTCGACCACCATTTTATTGTAACAGAGAAACCAGGCTGCAGTAAGCCCACATGATCAGAGCAGGTGGTGGTTCTCTTTCCGAAGGGTGAAGCACATCTCCTCTCCTGATGCCACCCCGCACCGCCCAGCTGCCAGAGAGATGAGCGGCGGTGCAGCCACACGGGGGAAGGAGCGCTCCAGCTGGCAGAGGCGACATCCCAGCGGGGACAGTCACACAACACGGAGGCAGACACTGCAGTGACGTGCAGTTACCTACTCTCTACTATTCTTCGCTAAGACAGGAGGAGGAATGGCATGAGCAGAGAACTAGTTCTTCATTCTTAAATAAATCCTGATACGACGGGGTTGATGGTCACTCAAGCGGGAGAATGGGGTGAAAATCTGGCTAGATATAATAGGTCTTCATGACTACAGAAAAGTATAGCAATGATGAAAGAGGAGAGCCTTCTCCTTTTCTTAAATAAGACAGGAAACAGCATCTGTTACTTTTCTTGCTACAGGGGAAAAACACTCATTGGTTTTTGTAAAGCGTAATTCTGCATTTGGTCTGTTGATCAGGTTGCCCCACCGTGGAGGACAAATGTGAGTAAATGGCTTAATGACTGACTAGGTCATGTCTCTCACGGCTTCTAATATGAGCTGTGTCTCATGCTGGGTCCCCACAGGAAACCCTAAAACCACATGATGCTTCAGTTAAAGCTTCGGAAATATTGCAATGTCCTGAATACAGGTTTTTTGGTGCTGTGACTTTCTCGCATGTGTAAACTCTTTTAGAAAAGTTGAACACAAAAGAATGGGGGAGAGTTTGGTTTACAGCCACAAACTTCCAGACCGGCCACCATGCCTCTGCCCTATCTCACTACATGTTCTCTTCTGAGAAACACATTTAACTGCTAAGTGTTACGCACTGTGGTTGAAAGAAACGACCCACTCACCACCACCCACCCTCCCTCATCCTGCATGTGACTCTCGCAACAGCAGAGGCTGAACACAGAAAGGTTGTCTCTGTTCCTTGCATCCGGAGATTACTTGGTCACCTGATGAATGGCATGGGCAAGATAGCCCACGTTGCCAGAGGTGACCCCTGCCACAGAGATGCGGCCGTCCTTTGTCATGTAGATCGAGAACTCCTTGGTCAGCCGTTCTACCTGCAGAGAGAAAAGGACTTGGTTACTTCTAGCCAGGAGTTTTTCCAGCTCTGGCATGGCATAATAGCCAACTTTTGACAAAAATAACAGAAGGTCTATTTTCTCACTTAAGCCCTCTTAGGATTTAGTATGCCAGCTTGGAGTAAAAGAAGAATAAAAAACTATGTTAAAGTAGGATGATGAATTCTGAGGCATGAACAGGTGGGAAAAAAAAATCTCAGGTGTAGCACAGAACCAGCAGTAGTGATAAACAATCAAAACAAAGGTATTTGGGCTGCGGATGTAGCTCGGTGGCAGAGCAACTGCTTAGCATGTGCAAGGCCCTGGGTTCCATCCCTAGCCTTGAAACCCCCTTCCCCCCACCAACCACAACTGAAAAAAACTCAAGGTATGCATTTAGAAGTCTGCAGCCTCATGGGGGATACAGATAGGCACAGTGTCATGGACCTGTGGCTCCCTGGTACTCAGGAGACTGAGGTGAATTCCTTGAGCCCAGGAGTTGAAGACCAGCCTGGGGAACATAGCTGAGGCCCTATCTCAAAACAACAATACCCCAAAACATACAAATGTTATACATCATCTTTACCAGAATAACTTTAGGGCAACCCTGAATAGGCAGGACCTGTGAGGAATTCTAGTTTGCAGGGACTGATGGACGGATCAGCTACAGAGAAATACCCACTCACCTGCTCGGGCTTCAGGCCTGTGAAACAGAACATCCCAATCTGGTCGGTGATGTGCTGCCAGCTGTGGGACGAGCCTTCCTTCTTGAGGTTGGAGACCAGCTGGGTGCGCATGCTAATGATACGGTCGGCCATGCCTTTCACCTCCTGCAGCCTGTAAGGAGACCCAGAGAGGCAGCTCATCCTGGCTAAGCACCAGCGGGTAAACGGAGTTCCAAGCGCTTTGATCTCTTTGTGTGCCTCAATTCTTAGTCCTTGCCTAAGCCACGGTGCTCCACTGCCCGGGGACGGGGAGCGGGGAGAAGCTATTTTATAGCATTCTGTTTCATATCATAAGACTACTGTGATTAAACAACTCAAAGAGTTAACATACTTGATATTAAGAAAAGTGAAGGCATTACTAGAAGTCTTCAGGAGGCTAAAGCAGAACCTGCAGGTTAAATAATAAAACATGATCCTATTCTTTATCATGGATGGAATAAACACTCCTTCCTTCACAATAAGACAAAGCACTGTAAGCCTACAGTGGCCCAAGCTCATGTGCTACATGCTGTGGACTGTCACAGTCCTTGCTTTTAAAAACTTACAATGAAAGCTCGGACCCAAACCTGTAAACAACCAACTACGGAAGAAGGCAGCGTAATACACAGCTGGCAGACCAGTGCTACGCTAGAGGAGGGCTGGCTCTGTCGGGGACGAGGAGAGGTCATCCTCTGTATACAGAGCTCACTTGATTTGAAACACAGTTTTCTCCTTTTTCAAAACTGCCACTTACATCCCATTCCCATGGCTCCATGGGAAATTCTTGTTGGACCTCACTAACTGGACCACTGTAACGACACTTATAACTTACCGTCCTGGTGTTGTGTTCACTTCCCTAAGACATCTCTCTGTGCTGATGTCATGCACAGCTAAAACAGGTTCATAATTGCCAATTAAAGCTGGCAGCACTGCGTTAGCAGTGATTACTGACTGGACTGAGGAGCCCTGGCCTCTCCCAAAGTGGCATCTGATTTTAATTTCCTGCAGCCCCACCATCCGGCTCCATCCACTTTGAGGCATGGCCCTAAACGCACTGCATGCAGGATGTGTGTATCCCAGATGCGGCTGGACCTGAGTGAAGCCCTTCCCTTCTCTATGATGTTCAGAGCCTGAAGTCCTGACCTCTCACAGTATCTATCAAGGTGCTTCTGACTGGCTCCACCTTCTCAGCTTCGCTGCCTTCTACGCTCCTCCTCACAATCAGCATTTCAGCCACAGAAGCACATGGGGATTTGTGTACACACCGCACAAGGCACATCCCTGCCTGTATTGTCTCATAAGCAGCTTTCTTTGTCCAGTTTCCCATCAGTTCTTTTAGGAAAGAAGCCCTCTCCTCTTTAACGTATAGCTCAGAGTGCAGTTCTCATTACATCGTCCCCAACTCCCCACTGGAATCAACTCTTCCTTCAGCTGTCATTTATTCCACTCTGTCTTCTACCAGTGTTCTGTCCGCATCTTTCTCACTGGGTTCTACACTCCCCGAAGGCATGAGCCATGTCTTAGTCATCTAGTAAGCACTGTGGTCCACTGGAGACTCCCAAATGTGTGCTGGGACATGAACATTAAAGAAATAAAAACCAAAAAAACTCTGAAACAGTCAGGGAAATATGGAAATAGAATAGAAAAAAACCCCAGTAAAATATTACAAAAACGAAGTTTAGTATAATTCCAAGTGACAAGATCAAAGCCAAGCTGAGCTTGGGGGCGCACATCTATGACCCTGGTACCTCGGAGGTTGAGGCAGGAGGATGCTGAGTTCAAGGCAAACCTGGGCAAGTTTAAGTCCAATCTGGACTACCTGTCAAGACTCTGTCTTACAAAAACAAACAAAAAAATAACCTCTCAAAACCCATCCTACATGTAAATATACAGTAGTGGTTTATAGCGCTCTGTAACTACAGGTAACAGAGAGCGAGGAAGGAAGCTGGGCGACAGGGCAGGGCTGTGGTTAATGTTTTCCTTTCTCCCAAGCTTGCTTTCTTTTTTCCCCTGGGACTGCACAGTGCACTAGGTGCACTCCACCAGTGAGCTGCGCCCCAGCCCTCTCCTGAGACGGGGTTTCCTTCCGTTGTCCAGGCCGGCCTCGAACCTGTGATTCTCTTGGCTGAGCTTCCCAAGGAGCTGGGGCCCCACGTGTGCCACCACTTCTGGCTTCCCTCTCCCAACCTTGCTGAAATGTGCTTACGTGTTAAGTTTATAATGAGAAAAAAATTATAGCTGAAAACGTAATCCATTTTTTGGTAAGTCTAGCACAAATCTGTTGTACTAAAAAGAATTATACTGAACCCAACTCCTGCTGTTTACTTCAGTGCTCACAGGACTAACTTGCGACAGGAAAAACAGCTGTCATCTGATGACTGGTAAGCTTGGAGACGACAGACAGCAGATTTGTTGCTGTTTTTTTTTTTTGCGGTACCGGGGATAGAACTCACGACCTTGCACTTGTCAGGCAGGCGCTTATGCCACTGAGCTAAATCCCCAGCCCCAGACAGCAGATTTAGTTTTTCCACTAAGAAGTGACACAGAAATCCATCCTTTTAACTAAGCTACACAGGGAAAATTCACATCTAAATTAAACTATACTGTGTGTCATGACCCATTGGTAGGCCAAAGTTTCAATTTTATAGGATATGATTTGCGTTTTAAAAATGTTAGATTCGATCTATAGCACTACAAATGAAAGAGAAAGAGGCATGGTGACACACACCTATAATCCTAGCACTTGGGAGGCTGAGGCAGGAGGACTGTTGCAAGCTCGAGACCAGCCTGGACTACAAAGTGAGCTCATGGCCAGCCTGAACTACATAGCGAGACCCTATCTCAAAAAGATAAAAAAAAAAAAAAAGAAAAAGAGAAAGAATATACTGAAGTGTAGCACAGGAAGTCTCCAGTATCAAAGGTTTTGTGTTTTTTGAGGTGAGGTCCTGCTATGTTGCCCAGGCTTGTCTTAAACTCCTGAGTTCAAATGATTCTCCCACCTCAGCCTTCTGAGTATCTACAACTAAGGTGTGTTCGACCATAACTGCCTTAAGTATTGAGTTTTCTTTTATCTTTTTGGAGACAGGGTCTCATTATGCAGTTTAGGCTGGCCTTGAACTTATAGTACTATAGCTCAGGCTGGCTTTGATGATCCTCTTGCCTCAGCTTCCCAAGTGCTGGGATTATAGGTGTGCACTATCATGTTTGGCAAACATTGAGTTTTAAAAATAGTTTTAGTTATATATACAACCATATACAAGTAATGTGTTCAGGGCCATGATGTGAAATGTATTTCTTATGTGAAATGTGATTTAATTTGGAGAACAGGTATTAAGATACAGATGGAAAGATAATAATAAAAACCAAAAATATGCAGAAATACTGATTCAGTACAAGCCGTTATTGGGACAAAAACAAAAATATTGGGGCTATGAATGTAGCTTAAAGGTAGAGTGCTGGCCTAGCACAAGTGAATCCCTGGGTTCAATCCCTGGCATTGTAAAAGAAAAATGAAAACATTATCTTCTTAAGGAAGTTTCCCTATGTAAGCTACTTAATTTGAACCTGAGTTTTTTTT